AAACAAATAATAAATAAATATATTATCCCAGGCTCCCATAGAGTAGACGCTCTGCAGAACGTGATTCAGTAGCAATAGTACCAGGGATTGGATGGTTGTTCCCCTCCAGAAATTCGTTTTTCTTGTATGGGTCCCAGACCTCTGCCTTCTTCTTTATTCTGCTTGATACTTTTTCTTAGTAGCAAGCCTTCCCTCTCATTAGCCCTTTTGCCACTCCAAGATCCATCAAGATCAGTCAACCAAGTGTCTCTTCCCTACTTTGTCTAGAGTGGGAATTCTCAAACTTGGTACATTCATGGCTGAGGCTCTCCAGAACAGCCTGTGGATCAGCCAGAGCTCAGTGGATCAGGTCACCCACTGGTGGCAGACTGAACTGGAGTTTGGCATCAACAGCTGGAAACGACCAATCAAATGAAATATGGATAAGAAATCCCTCTTTGGACATTATGATACTTCTGTGGCCACAGTGATTTTCGCATAGCAGGAAGTTCCTCTGCATTTCAGAGGAGTCTTTACTAATCTAGAAGGCTTTTAATTTTATATTAAAAAATTATATTTATATTTTATATTTTAGAAATGTTCTAATAATAATAATAATATTGTTTTCTGTCTTCCCCAGCATGCCTCTCCAAGATTTCTAATGCTCATCTCCAGTCATTTTTTCTCCTTTTATCCTTCCACACTTAAGTTCTCATCCTGCCAACCCAAAGTTTGAGAGAGAGTTCTCAGGAATTCTAGATCTCTCTTTCTCTTGTCTAGATAGAAACCTTGTCTCTCAGAGCCCCTGCTGTCTTTCTGCCTCACCAGCCAATTGATCACTGATCACTGACAGTGGTTGATCCATTCCATGGCTTACCAACTTGGGAACTAATCTGGAAAGGTCCATTGGAAGATATATGTCTTTAGCTCCCTCTTGAAGGTAGCAATCTGGGCCACTGAATTCTCCCAGAAGACCATTCCACAGCTTAGGGGCAACCACTGAAAAAGTCCTCTTATTAGGAGACATTAATCTTACAGAAGCAAACTTCAAGAGATCACCCCCAGAGGACCTTAGTGAGTGAGGTGGAATATATGAATTACCTAAAGTTGAGCTCCTTGCAACATCCCATGCTGCAGACAAGGCCCAAGAAAGCAAGCACGTCTGTTGGTGACATACAGGTATGTGAGGGGATGTCACATGGAGGTGGGTAGAGACCTGTTCTCCCCTGCAGAGGAAGGCAGGATGCGCTCCAATGGAGCCAAGCTCAGGGAACCAAGGTTCAATTGGGATGCCAGAAAGCACTTCCTGACAGTTAGGACCCCAGGGGTATAGAATGGGCTTCCACGGGAGGTGGTTGAGGGTGAGGGTGTTCAACGATAGGCTGGACATGCACATGATGGGCATGTCGTGAGCGGAGCCGGCTGGAGCTAGAAGGCCCGGGAGGCCCCTTCTGACTCGCTCTGTTTCTATGTTTCATAGAGCCTGAAGCAGATAATCCAAACACTATTCTTTGTCCCACTGATTAACACAGAACCATCCTCTCCTGTTTATGTCCATGACACATTAGGGCAGGGCAACATCACACAAACTTGCCAGTCTGCCCCTCCCCACATCCCCTTGATGCCACCCAAAATACCTCAGTGGAGGTAACTGCTTTACCTTTGCCTCATGGCAAGACCAACTCTGCAAGTTGAGAGGTTTTGAAAAAATCTCATCATAAGTCTTGGGGTGTAATCACAGGCGCTCCATGAATACAGCAGAGGAGCTGAACCACACCATGGGACGACTCAGTCTAAGCCACTGCTTGTGTGAACATGACCCAGGCATCCGCTCAGTTTCATCCACTTCCCACAGTTCAGTTAAATAAAAATGGCCAAGCATTTGGGTCACTGAAAAAGGGCCAATAACAGTCCATTCTGAGCAGTCAAGGATGAGGCCTGGTCTTGCTCTCAACCCTAAACGGGCTGTTTTTGGTGAACCCGTTCCTTGGAATAGGTCGTATCGTTATCATTTATCCCTTTCCCAAAGCAAAAGGTGATAAAATAGTACTTTTGTTTGCTTGTTTTCCAGAACAAACACATAAGGTTTGGGATATTCTTGGCCAGATGAGTTCCAATTCTGATATTTCATAGCGTTGTATTTCCCAGTAAGTGAAATTTGAAAGCAAGTAAACAAGGCAAGATATGCAAACGTGGATTAAAAAAGAGGAAGTTCAGTTTGGACAAAAGTTTCCTGTGGTCATTTCTGTGGACGGACCACAAGACGTTCTGGGTGCCAATAATAGCACATTGACCTTTACCAAACCTCATTTAACCACTATGTATTTATTTCAGAACTTCCGTCTCAAGGACATCAGAGATGATGGTTTGCTTTTTGGGGAGCAGTCTGCAAGAACATTTTGAGAGGAGAAGTCCGAAGTCCGCACGCCACAGAGTTGACTTCAGAGAAATACAGTCCTACCTGCTTCAATCCATGCTGGTCTTTGGTGTGGTGAGTAAAAGGGGACATCTTCTTTACTTTCCGGGCTCTGGGGTGATAGAAACAAGCAGAAGTGTGTACAAGGGAGCCTCTCTCAGATCATGGCCTTCTCTGAAAGACAGCAGATGGTAACAGGTATGGACCCAAGGATGAGGACTCTGGTTTCTCATATGCACTTATCTTCCCAGAAGATGCTGAACTGCAAGACTGTTCAGTTTCCACCTCCTGGGTGAGTGCCTCTGCTAGGGTACACAAGGCAGGTAACTCCGTTACCCAGTACCCTCATCAGGTCCAGGGCTCAGCATGGAGGTGGGCAGGGGCACCCTTGGAGAAGCTTGTAAGGAAGCCAAGCAGCATCTCACCAGCTTCCCTGGAGGCTAACCCTCAGTCGCATTGTCCAGACAGCTGTGGGCAGTGAGTGGGCTGCCTGCCAGCAGCTCAGCTTGGGCTCCCCACTGAATGTCCAAGACGGAGGGTATTATCTGTGCAGCCCCCTACTTGACCAGCACCGCTCAGAGGGACCACATCTTCACATGGGGTGAATCCCAGCTAGTCCATGCAATCAGAGCTCAAGCTGAGGTAGAAGGAGCAACCAGCAGTTAAGCTCAGGGAGAGCAACATAGCTACCCACCCTGCTCTGCTGGGAAAAGCTCCTGGCATCCCCCAGCTTCTCAGAAGCCCACAACTCAGCTGAAGGGCATGCAAGGCCATTCAGATCAACAGCCGCTCTGGCTGGTATGGGGGAAACCAGGGATCAGCTCAGCAGCAACCCAGTAGCATGTGCTCATCAGCTGATCTGGGGGTTCCTGAGGGAGCTTCGGGGGCCACCCCGACCTCTCTGCTGTTCTGTGCTCAGCTGGAAAGGAATATATGCCATGACCCCTGCCTGGAGCTCCCACAGAGCCGGCGTGTGAGGCTTCAGCAGGGGTTCCCGGCATCCTGGAAATCGAGCACTTGACAAGCAGAGCTGCGTTGCTCTGGCTGCTGGAGAGTCGGGGCCCCCATACACCCCTGAGGAAAGCCGCTGGATGGCCCTCTGCTGAGCTCTGGTTTTGGGACGGTGGGAGCAGCTTTTGCTGTCTCCCAAACTTGCCCGGAGCCCCTCACTGGGCTGGGGTGCATGGCAGCTCTTCAGGTCAGTTGCAGCTACAGCTTAGGCAGCAGGAGCCACCGGCATCTCTCTGGAGCCCTGTACTCAGCTCAGGTACAGCAAGTTACCTTCCCACCTTGTCATTCCTTCAGGGAGGCTGGGAAAACTCCTTCCATCCCCAAAACTTCACAGAAGCCCACAGCTCAGCTGTGAGGCATGCAGAGCCATTCAGATCAATCACAGCTACAGCTTGGCCCACAACGGGGCTCCGGGTGATGCTCCCCAACTCCTGGAAAGTCAGTGAGCTCAACGGGGCTCCCGATTCCACCTAAAGCTCATCCATTTACCAGAGAGCATACAAGCTCTTTCTTCAGCAGCAACTGTAGCTAACTTTTCTTCCTCCACACCATGCATCCCAGAGGTAGAAGCCCAACGTTTGGCTGGGATGTGTCCATTCCCCTCAATTAAACCCAACACACATGAGGATGCTGTTCCCATGCTCTCTAGCCTTGATTTCTGTTGGGGCATATGCTAACTTTTGGACAGTCAGAAGAGGTCACAGAACTTTTCCCCTGAATGTCAGGTGAGTCCAAGCTGAAATCCCCAATCCCTTACACACTGGGAAAGGTCTGCTGAGCAACCTGGTAAGGTATAAATCTGCCAGGTTTTTCCTTGGATTTTTTTGCAGACAAGCACTCAGCTGGGACACACACATCCCGGCTTACTTGGGAGGGGAAGAAGTAGGGTTTCCAGCCCTGCCTCCCCAAAAGCCAAATGCTCAATGATAGAGCTGTGTTTCACTCAACTGTGCATTAGGTTCAGGAAAGGGGGGACATGCAGATTAGCTCCTCCAGCTAAGAAGCAGCTTGGGAAGGTTTTGGATGCAGCCACTTGTTTTCCTCATGGAAGCCTTCAGTTCTGCAAGAAAGTGTAGAATATTCTTAACTGAAGCCCAGGCTTTAGGAGAGCCCAGCTCAGATCCTCAGGGAAATGAGACTGCCATGATCCTTTCTGAAGCTGTGTGCTCAGCTCAGAAATGTGAAAATCTGGGGTGCGGAACAACTACACATCCTTCCAGCTTTTTAGCAGGTTAGTTTTGGAGGTGTCAACCCCGACTCACTCTTGCTTTCTGCACACCCTGGGTTCCACACGAAGGAACTGGGTTCTGCTTCACCCACATCTCAGCCTCTTAACTTAATCTTCTCATATCCAACAGCCCTAGTGAAATATACAACCCATCCAGTGCTTGACTATAACTACACGGTTCAAGAACAACCACAAGTCTCAGGTTTTTGAGGCTTATGGGGCTCTTGTGATCCCATGGCTTCAATTGGTGTTCCACTGTGAGGGGTCTGTTTTGTGTTTTTGTTCACTGGTTTCAGAAATGTCAGAGAGGAAAATAATATGGTGGCCTTACACCTATCAGTGAATACCCTTTTGATGGTTTAACAGGGTTTGGGGGCTTTTGTCCATGTTCCTTGGCTGGAAAATACAGATGCATCTGAAGTATTTCTTGGCTTCAAAAAGGATAGTTTACTGACAGCATCTGTTGATGAAGTTTGTATTTTTGTTGAAGTCTGGATTGATGCTTGTGTGGCTTTTAGAGATATGCATTGTCTTCTGCTGTTGTGACTATTACTGGATGCCTCTTAGTCTGCTATCTTCACTTAGACCATTCTGTCCGGGTGATCCTATTAGGATTCAAGACTAGTGAGCGATTCTGGCCTCCTGCAGCATTGCTCTTGGCTTCCCCTACACTCTCAAACACACCCACCATGTTACAATATGCATCAAAGAGGATGCTCATTTTGCTAGAGTACAAACTCACACAAATTTTTCAGCACACCAATAGAATGCCCAACATTACACATGGAGAATCTTCAATCCTCCAGATCTTGTTGGACTCCAGTCCCATCAGCCCTAGACTGCAGAGCCAATACTCAGGAATGATGGGAGCTGGAGTCCAACAACATCTGGAGGACCACAGGTACACAATCCCTACTTCCCTTAGCTTAGCTAACACTTTTTCTCCATGCTCCAAGTGCTACACATACATTGTTGCTTGTATGCTCGCAGGATTGGGCCTAAGGCCAATATTATACTCTACTCATAGGGCTGTCTTTTTAAAATTGGATTTTTCAATGAACATCACATAGCAGAGCAGATCAACTTAGTTCCCCAAAAGCTGCTGATTAATTCTGAAAAAAAATGTGGTTCCAACTTCTTAGCTCTTACTGCTACTGCTTTACATGTTAGCCAGATCAGTATTAAAATAATTATTTATGAAAAATCTGAATTATGAATTATTAAACATTAATCAATTGAGACTGTTTGATAGATTGGATATTAAAGCAATTCAGACACCCAGATGTTTCCATTGTTTCCATCTTCTGATCATCAAGCATGAGCAAGAGAAACGCTTGTCTGAATTTACTGGACTTTTTCCTCTGCAAGGACTTTCAAGCCTTCCATTCTTTCAGAGGAAAAAAAAATTTTTTAGGATATGTCAAAAATTCCCAGAGGACAATGTTCTTGTGTCTGTGGACGCCAGCTGGGTGAGAATACCATACATTAGATGATACGTATGTAGATGGTAGCTACTTAGAGTGACATGGATAAGATTCCATAATTGTTGCACAGGACATAATAGCTGCTATGTTTTGTATAACAAACTCTGCTGTGTAAATCTTCCAGCTACAGGAAGCCTATAAAAGCACTCTTTTTGGCCTAAGGACTGTGCCCTCGTGACTGGTAGGTTGTAAATATTTGGTTGCTATTTGAATTTGGCCTCACATACATTGCCGGAACAAGCACACTCCAACCTTCTAAGGTAGACTGAGGTGATGGGGAGAGGGAAAGAGATTTCAGGTGTGGAGAAGCTCTGATCCTCCAAAGAATGATGGATACAACCTCCAGCAGCCCTGACCATTGGCCATGTTGCCTGGTACTGATGGGAGTTGGAATCCAACCATTTCTAAAGGGTCCTATGCATTCCCACTGGCCTAGGCAGCCCTCTTCCTATGTGTCCAAAGCACTTCAAATGCATGACCTGAACAATCACACTCCAACCTTGTAAGATGGACCAATCATGGAACATAAGGTGATCTAGTCTGATGATAATGATAGCTTTATATCTCCTCCAGCACTGGAAGCTGTCTCTGAGTGCCTATTGAGGGGGAGGTAGCTATTCCAGGCTTGCCCTTGTGGGCTTCCCTTGGCTCCCTGGTTGGCCAATGTGGAACAGAAGACTGGACCACGAACTCTATGAATAATGTCACACTAGGAATCAAGACACCCAACTGGCCTCTTGGTATCTCTAGCTACATATAAGAGGATTGGGTAAGCAGTCAGACACTTGTAGGAGCTCCTTTTCATGCCAATCAAGCAAGTGTCGCTTTGTCTTCCTTGTGTGAGGAAAGCACAAGGTAAGAAAAGCAACTTCACTGTGAAGCAGACCTTCTCCAATGGGCAAAGAAGCCCATTCCCACCAGGCATGCTGGAGCAATCACCATCCTGTGCACCTGCCAGGGGGTTGTAGGAAGATCAGGCTGGAAAGGGTTCAGAGGAGGAAAACAAGGATCATCTGGGGACTGGAAACAAAGCTCTATGAGGAGAGATGGAAAGAATTGGGCATATTTAGCCTTGAAAGCAGGAGACTGAGGGGAGATAGGATAGCACTCTACGAGTACGTGAAAGGCTGTCACAAAGAGGAAGGAAAGGATCACTTCTCGATCATCCCACAGTGCAGGGCACAAAATAACAGGCTCAAGTTACAGGAAGAAAGATTCCAGCTGAACTTCAGGAAGAACTTCCTTCCTGCTGTTAGAGCAATAGGATGATAGGACTCATGACCTGGGGAAGTTTTGGGCTCTCCCATACGAGAGGCATTCATGATGCTGCTGGACAGTCAGCTAAGAGGGATGGTTTAATTTGCAATCCTGCATTGAGCAGGTGGTTGGGCTTGAAGGCCTGTTGGCTCCTTCCATCAATATTATTCTGTAATTCCATGATTCGGTCATTTCACTCTCAGAAGCTTCTAGGAGTGCCATCAAGCCCTCTACACAATTTTCATTGCACACCCCAATCTACAGTCTCAGGAAAAGCATACACATTTGAAAACCCAATAATCTTGTCTTTCTTTGTCCGTTAAGCAACGATTCACTTTCTTTCAGTTGTAGAAATTCAGCTTAACACTTAAATCTCTTTTTATCCTTCTGTTTTTCTTCTCTCTCAGATCCTCAACGTTTCCCTAGTATTTTCCCTCTGATTCCATCCAACTGCCTCCCAGACTCTGGAAATATCACCATCGGCTGTTTGGCCCAAGGTTTCAAGCCTGATCCAGTCAGTTTCTCATGGAGGAAAAGCAACCAAATCATTGATGCAAACTTGTCAGAGGATTTCCCTTCCTTGGCCCAGCCCGATGGAACTTTTACAACAAGCTCCCAGGTTATTGTCCCCGTCACTGATTGGAACAAGTACAGTCATTTTTATTGCACCGCTGTCCACTATAATCACAATGAAACAATACAGGTCATTCGTCCAAGTAAGTTTATGCATTTGCTTTGTTCGATTCAATGTCAAGAGCTGAACTTTTCCCTTCAAACTATATGAGTCTCACCAGCTTTTCTTTGCTAATGATTTTTATTGTTACATTTGCACTTCTGAGCATACACAGAGTAGAATGTTGCAGCCTTTCTACCTTTCATTTCTCAAAGCTCCCTTTATGAACCCATCTGCATCTCACCCGGAAGTGGGACCCGGTAAAAGCAGGCACAGCTCTGCTCCTCCCTTTGCGCCCCTGACTGGGCTTTCCTCTGATGATGACAGCAAGTGACCTGGTCTGCCATTTCAGGGGGCAGAGGTTCTGCATTGTAGACACTTCCCATTTCAATATCAGTGTCCTCTCCCTCAGGCCGTATTCCTCCCTGTTCCCACGGCATGGTGAAGGGTTACCATGAATTACTGTGTCATCCAAACCAAGATGGTATAGCTTGTTGGAGGGGTAAACAAGCCCCCAGTAACCCTACAAAAACCCATGGTTTTTGTCCCTTCCAGTAAGTCATGGTACTCACGTTCAGATGACATGACAAGCTGCCTCCAGGGCTGGAACAGACACCCAAGTCCCCACAGCCGTGCTGCACTGATCACAAAAACCAGGTCATAAACTATTGTAAGATAATCTTCTAAGTCTGATCAACATGGTTTCCTAACTAGACCTAACTTGCAGATACACCCTTATCAATTTAACTTCCATTACTACATTTATTTGTTGCCATTTAGGATGATGGATTCAGCTACAATAAATTTTTATTCCTTTTTGCCATTTTCCCTCCTTTACCAGGAATTGATCCACTGATGATTATTGCTGCACCACTCATTGAAGAATTTGCTGGTTCCCCCCCAAATGCCACGCTTACCTGCAACGCTGATAACGTGGATGACAAGGATGCTACAATCCAGTGGCTCAGGGATGGAGAAGTGTTTGGCTCTCCGATCAGTACAAGAGGTGGCTGCTGTGGCCAGAGGCTCATGAGTGAGCTACAGATCACTAAGAGGGACTGGGAAAGTTCAACCCGCTTCTCCTGCCAGGTGTCCAGTGAGACACTGACCCTAAAAAAGGACATCAACAAGGAGCTTCTTTGTGGCAGTAAGTTAAAATGTTCCATCAATATATCAGACAACCAGGAGTGCCTCCAAATTAGAGGAGCCATTCTCCCTGTTTATCATTCAGTGGACCCAAAATGCACCTCTCAGAAGATTTGCTAAGTAAAAATAGGCCATTCGATACTTTAGCTCTTCCATTCATAGTATATTGAGTGTTTTAGTCTTTTTTTTTTTAAAAAATCCATCAAAGAAAGAAGCAAATTTTGAGCATTCAGAAATTCAAATCTTGAATTTTTTAGGAAATTACAGATTATTGAATACCTTGCTGTGGCTCCAACTAGTTTCTTTGAATTTCAATCTTTTGATGTAAATGAATGGGATAGAAGTATAATTGCAGATATGTTGGAACTGGAAAATGCAGATCATTTAAGTTTGACACATTGAATATTTGGAAGTGGGGGGGGGAGTCAAGGGAGGCATGGACCTCTTTCTCTAAGACAGGCTGGACTTTGCAGTTTTTTAATGCTAAAAAATTCTGTGACAGTTTGTGCAAATTACGGTATTTTCCATGTTTTGTGTATATCAGCTCCTGAAAAGCTCATGGAACTAAAATGTTTTGCATTAAATTGGCTAGTTGGTTTAACTTAGCACCAGAAAAACATGTGAACATAACATGATTTGCACAGATTTGCAAAGATCACATACTTTTTTGGTATCAATTGGTGCAAACTGACTGATTTTGCACAAATTTCCCTACAGCACTTTTTTAGTATTCAAAAACCATGGCTTGTCTGCAAGGTGCCCCATTTCTATCCATACCAAGTCAGGGCCAGTGCAGGGCTGGCAGACTGGAATCTGCTGAGCCAAATCATAAAAATCCCCTATGAGATTCCTTCCACTTTCCTAGGTATGATTCCACATATTGCTGTTGTTCAGCTGTTCAGTCGTGTCCAACTATAAGTGATCCTATGGGCCAAATCTTGTGGCACTTTTTGATCCTGTGCCAGCTCTTTCAGCTGAACTATGTTCTGGCCCACATCCTCTTAGACGGAGTCTAACCACCTTGCTCTTTGGCGACCTGGTTTTCTCTTGCTACCGAGCATTCCAAGCATTAGATCTTTTTCTAATGAGCTTGATTGCATAATGTGACCAAAATACATGAGTCTCAGCTTTGCTCTCATGCCAACCAGGGATGTGTCTGGTTTTATATATGATTCCACATATATACCCCTGCAAAATATATTTGGACAAATGACAGGTAAACCCAATTCATGCCAGTTTGATCGGCAAATTTCATGCATACAGATAAAAAATATGATTCTTGAAAAATGTAATCCAAACATTAAAAATGAAACTACATCCCTACTTTGTTTCCCCAAAAGCAGATTTGTAGTTGATCTTGGAAGTAAAGATTGCCACAGAAAAGAGGTTTTTAAGAATGCAGAAAAAAAATTAATATGCTTTCTGTTACTTCTGTAACGCGCTCTACGTGGGGCTACCCTTGAAGACGGTCCGGATACTTCAACTGGTTCAAAATAGAGCTGCCAGGTTGCTGACGGGGACTGGGCATTATGTTCACATGACTCCAGTCCTCCGTCAGCTTCACTGGCTTCCCATTGAAGTCCGGGCCCAGTTCAAGGTGTTGGTGATGACCTATAAAGCCCTAAACGGCTTGGGTCCTGGCTACCTGAAGGAGCGCTTACGTCCATATATGCACGCACGCCCGTGAGATCTGCGGGAAAGGCCCTTCTCCGGGAACCCTCCGTGAAGGAAATTAGGAGGGTAGGTACTCGGACGAGGGCTTTCTCAGCGGTGGCGCCCAATCTATGGAATGCGCTCCCCAGAGAGGTCCGCCTGGTGCCGTCGTTATTTGTTTTTCAGTGCCAGGCGAAGACCTTTTTATTCAAACGTCATTTTAATTGCTAATATTATTTGCTTACTTCGGCCAGGGCAACTTATTTTATAATGTTAATGTGTTTTATATTTTTAGTGTTTTATATTTTAACTGATGTTTTGTAAGCTGCCCCGAGGCTTTGGCGAATGGGGCGGCATAGAAATTTTTAAATAAATAAATAAATAAAATATGCTAACAGGATTTTCTGATTTATTGTGTAAATCAGCATGATTCTTGTTACCCTTCAGCTTGCAGTGAAAATGACCCTAAAGTTGATGTGGAAACCATCCGACCATCCTTTGCTGATATTTTCATAAACAACTCAGCCAAGCTGACTTGCAAAATCTCCAACATACACCCTGGCACGGACTTGTCAACTCTGGATGTCAGCTGGACTCAAGGACCTAACAAAAAACCACTGGACACTAAACTGGGGCAGCCCATGGATCAGGAAAATGGATTGCAGTACATTGAAGCTACAGCCACCGTGTGTGCAACTGAATGGAACAGCGAAGAAATATTCACTTGCAAAGTGGATTGGCCAGGAGTACTTCCTGTACCCAAGGAAAAAACACTGCAAAAGTCTACTAGTAAGTACCTATTAACATAATCTCATGAAAGACTGAAGCATCACTTCCCTTGTTTCAGCAGAGGAAGGCTCTAGGATATTTAATTCTGCCTGAATCAAAAGTTTTTGGTGGAAAGTGGGGGTGGAACCAAAAATGCTTTCAGAACATCCAATGAAATTCTTGTTTTCACCTTTGTTAGAACAAATGGGCTCCAATTATGATATCCTAATGAATACCAGCAAACAGGAGAAGTATCTTTCTGAATTAAATCAAGCAGACACCAGTGGAAAGTCCACAAGCAGGTCATGTGGGTCCAACAGTACCTCTTTTTCCACCTGACTCATTTCCCTTATTTGATATTTATACTTTCCACCTGATGTCTGCAATCCCCCGACAAAACCAAACATCAGTGAAACTGCCGAGAATACAAGAGTAGAACGTATATAGAGAAAAAAGAGGGAAAACACAAACACAAAACAACCAATATATAGCCATATGGTAACAATCAGAGAGACTTGTGTGCATATGTATGAGCGTATATGTACACATATATATATTACTAGTAACGCTTTCAAGATCAGTCCAATGTACCTCTGAATAGCACCCCTTTCGTTCCTACTTAATATGTTGATAATATCTTTGGAACATGTTCCATTGTTATTTCTTGAGCCCACCAAGCCAAGAAAGTGGTATCTGGTGAAGGCCAGCAACTGAGCTTCCAGGAATTTGAACACCAGCTTCCTATCCTGTACCCAAAGCAAGCACACTGATTGTCACCACTGAATAGCTCTCTTTCAGCCTCTCTTTTGCAGGCTCATCTTAGTCCTCATTCAATCCACCTTTTATTAAGCACAGGCAACACAGAATTCACTGGGACTCTGTTGAGTCATCAGAAACAGTTGCTAAATTTGGTTTCATAGATCATGCTATGAAATGAAGCCCCCCATCCCATTTCCCAGCATGAAAGTCTAATTTTTCCACCAATGTTGAATGAGGAAGACTTTATAAAGAACTTACTCACTTGCTCTCTCTCTCTCTCTCTCTCTCTCTCTCTCTGTCTTTCTCTCAAACACCTTTAAGTGCTCATGAAACAAAGCAACTATGTTAAAAATTCCAAGAAATGCAAATTTGATATTGTTGATGTTAGTTGTGAAGTCGCATCTGACACATCGCGACCCCATGGACAACATTCCTCCAGGCCTTCCTGTCCTCCACCATCCCCTGGAGTCCACTTAAGCTCACACCAACTGCTTCAGTGACTCCATCCAGCCACCTCATTCTCTGCCGGCCCCTTCTTCTTTTGCCATCTATTGTTCCCAGCATTGGGCTCTTCTCCAGTGAGTCCTTCCTTCTCATTAGACGTCCAAAGTATTTGAGCTTCATTTTCAAAATCTGATATACTCTTCTTTGTATTTTTACTATGCAGCTTGCTCCCTCTCCCGTCCGGCTGTCTACATCTTGCCCCCTGCAGCAGAAGAACAAGAACTGAAGGAAACAGTCACCCTCACTTGCTTGGTAAAAAATTTCTGCCCCAGTGACATTTTCTTGCAATGGCTCCACAATGGTCAGCTTGTGAACGCTACAGAATACTACATCAGTGAACCTATACCGCAGTCTGGCTCAAATTCACAGTTCTTCCTCTACAGTATGCTGACGGTCAACGAACAGCAATGGTCCTCCGGCGACACATTCACCTGCATGGTGGGGCATGAGGCACTGCCCTTCAACACAACCCAGAAGACTGTAGACAAGAAAACGGGTAAACCATCCGTTGTCAACGTTACCTTAGTACTCAATGATACTGACAGCTCTTGCTACTAACCATTCTCCACCCCCTCTGCCTCCACTTGCACCTGATCCTCTCATTGTCTCCTCTTGCTCTCTTGTTGATTCTTCTGTGGAAACTTGGGGGTGAAGGGGGACGTCCAAGTGTCTTAAATACCAAAGCCTTAACTGGGCACATCTTTTCGAAGAAACCGACGTGTTCACAATAAAGTCTCTTTGTCAAAACAAATCTGGCTCACTGTTGATGTGAGGGTTAAAATTAGCCAATTCCCATTTGAATGCCACAGGAAATAAACTGCTTTGGAAATTGTCCCCAAAGCATCTTGTCAACCCATTAACTGGGATTTGCAAAGAATACTAAAATCATGAGATGGCCGAAGCTGATGAGACAGCATTTGCAGTGCAAGTACTGACTTTCTCATTGCATCCTTTCCCTTTTCTTTTTCTATCGATCTAAAACTCTTTTTAGGCTTACTTTAAGGGCAGAACTCCTTTTCCCCTTCCTTAGTCTTTTCTCTCATAGCTTTTTCTTCTAGTACTTTCTTTCCTAGCTCAAATCCTTGTATGCAGATACCACAATAATCCTTGTCCTAAAACATTCTGCCCCTACATCTGGGTTGTTTCAGAAAGCCAGTGATGCATCTACTTCCATGTGTTCTCATGGCTGGTACAGTTCCAGTACCATTGTGCGATTTAGACTAATCTGAGGATATTCTCCAATCAAAGTTCCCATAGTGTCTTAAGAAGTTAAGGAAACCAGTATAAGAATGCAGGAATTGCGTTCGTGGAAGGGCCAGTGCACCTCTTTTTAAAATCTTGTATCACCAAGGAGGTGTCTCATTACTGAGTGTTCACAAGGAACCGTCTGTGGAGCTTTTCTACATGGCAAAGAAGACTTCAAGATAGATTTTTGTGAGAATCTGAAAAACATTCAAAATTTGAAATGCAAGTTATTGAGCACAGAGAGCTTCCAATGCAGATTCACAAAGAAATATGTATTGAAGGCTTTTTATATCATGCACACTGTGCAACGTTCTAGCTAACATATAGGTTTATCTCAGGGCAGGTTCTTTTCTTGATTTTCTTTAACAAGGTAAAGGAAATATTGGCAATACCAGCAATGTAGGCACATATAAATATCAAGATCTTCCAACTCCCAACAGTACTTTCAATAAGATCCAAAGTGGTCTTTCTGGGTGATTTTGAGATTTCTTTGCAGTCACTGAGGTGCTTCTCCAGCAACAAAGAGTCTGAGTAACCCAATTTTAAGAAAGGAATTGAGACACTCACCATGTTTCAATAAAGAGAAATCATTTTGACCATCACTTTTGATGGAGAATGCGTCTAGAGCTTCATCAACATAAACCATCACCTCACTCATTACTACAAAGCAATAGTGTGAAGTTTGCTTTTGTTAACATTCAAAACTACCCCTTCATCGAAACTATTCATACGCAGACACATCCCTCCAACCCTTACTCTCGCTGGCCAGGTCAGATCTTCTTCCATCCTTTATACAGAGCATCGGTTACTCACAGAAGGGCAGGAAAGATGGAAGCAACCCCAAAGTACTGCTTCTCTGATTCTTTGTCTTGAGAATGAATATCTGATTCCAGAAGCATCTCTGAGAGATGTTTATCTAGGTCCCCCCCCCCATAAACATAACCATAGGGTGGCAACTGTACCATATTTTAGAGAAAAAGCCCAGGACTCACACATGGAACAGGGCAGAGGGGAAAGAGGCTAGGACAGTGCAGCAAGCTGAGATTCCTCCTTCGAGCAGCCATTTTTCCTTGCAAAATGTTCTTTATTGCTCCCAAGTACAAATCACCAAAAATGAATCTCTGAGCAAATGCAGAGCAGTTTGTTAAACGCAGTCTAGTGTTTACCTCCAGGAACCATCCTTATGAACATGCCTGGGCCTTTGAGAGGGGCCTTCTAAAAGCGAGCATGCCTCCTCTCCACATGGCCATCATTTCATTGGCCATACGTACACAGGCATGTGCAAATGCATGCATTTTTCATCCTGTGAGCCCCAGACCTTTTCAGTACCTGGTGTCACCCCTGCAAATGTTGTCCTTTTCCTTCCCTAACATTCCCATTCCTTCCCAGCGACAGCAAGCCATGGAACACAGAGCAAAGCAACAGACTTGGGCTAGAATCCCCCATTACCCTCATCCCATAGCTTAATTTAGGAACTCTGAATATTTCATAAATTATTTTCACACCCACTGCTGTTGAGCTGGAAGCTAATCCCATATTGGGACAATTCAGTGAATGGGTTCTACTTATTCTCAATTTACTTCACACTTGAGTCTAGTTAGCAATTTTAGAGCAAGTTTTTGCTTCTCTTGAATTATGATTCATGTGCTTAAACTACCTGGAATAGTCTGTCCTGTAGGCACTATATCCACTCTCTCCTTGCTGTCAACCAATTTCAGATTACCTATGTTTAACCTGATTGTATAAGTCAGCAGGGATATCATGCAGGGACGGGGGAAATCCACAAAAAAGGGTGATATGAACAAACAGATGCCCATGTGGACATGCACAACACACAACAGTTTGACGGAATGGGTAGAGGGACATCTTTACGTACAGTTGATCATGCATTCAATTCTATTGCACCAAATGAATTCCCATTTGTGGTTTTGGGAAAGACACCATCTCATCCTAACCAACCTAAAGCTAACAATATTTTTTAAATGTTAGGATAGGGCTCTTTGTGGGACCCTGAGCTCTCAGCCTCAGAAAGAGAGAAGCATTCACACTAGAGAAACTAAGTTCCCAGGAAAAACCCAATGAGTATCACATGAAAGAAATCCCCACCCAAGCACATCCCAAAGATGAGACATCTCCTCTTTTCCTCAGTCCTCATTTACATCACTATTGTATCCCCAGCGCTTCAAAGATTACAGAATTTAATAAATGACGGTTCTACAGGGTAAAAGGCAAGTTTGCGAGGAGCCTATTCAATCCTTCGAAGGGGTTCATAGAACCAACAGAATCAGGAGGACCCTGATGAAGTCAGGAGGCGCATGTTGCTGGAGCAAGCAAGCAAGGCTGTGCCATGCAAAACTCCTACAGATTTCTGGCTTCATCAAAATGAGCTCGGCTACAGATCCAATATAGGCCTCCACTCCGCCATAAGGGCAGCATCATTGAAGGTGGACACACTGACTCACTAACCACTTCATCTTTCAATGCACCCAACGTCATTCCCATAGAAATAATTTCTGTATCATGCCCCCACCATGTTTCAAGTGGACAGTGTGTTTTTGCTTCTTCTCTGAGACAATGCAAAGGGATACCTCGGTTTGCCACCATTCCAAGGCTTCCTTAAAGCATCTCCTCTTTACCTTGTCTCTGTCCAACTTTGCACATGACTTGGCATCACCTACACTTGGTTGGTGCCTAAGTGAAAACACTGGTGCTCAAGTGATCCTTTCCCCCTTCCTCTTCCTCCCCATTATTCTCACTGTCCTCATTTCTCCTGTGTTACTTTTCTTGCCTTACTTCCTGACTACACTAAGAAGTCATCTTATTTTTGCACTACAGAAGATGCTGATCATGTATTGTCCAAAGTTTCCCTAGATGGGCTCATGTACCTTGACGATGATGAAGAATTCCAAAATGTCTCATCGATCCTTTCTACTTTTATCATCCTCTTCCTTGTGAGCCTTTTCTACAGTGCCACTGTGACCGTCTTCAAGGTAAGATCAATGAAAGAGGGAGGAAGGAATGGAAGTGAAATTTCTTGGATCGTTCTTTGTAAAATGAGGACCAAGAGAGCATAAAGGAGCAAAGACACTCCATAGGGAATGCTGATTGTCTTCATGGGGTGCACCACACCAAGGTCCCAGAAGAAGCATTTTACAAATCATTATATTTATAATCTGCATTTAAAGGCAATGGAGTATAGTGGTTACAGTGTTGAACTGAGACTTGGGAGAGCCGGTTCTAGTTCCTCCACCTAGCCATGAAACTCATTGCATGACTTGGGCCAATCACAAACCCTCAACCTAATGTACCTCACAGGGTTGTTGTCAGGATAAAATGGAGAGAAGGGAAGTCATATAAGCTGCCTTGGCTTTCTTATCAGAGGGGGAAAATGTGGAATATATATGTAATATGTGAATTAAAGATAAGTAAACAATGGGGTACTTTTCAAAGATGCAGATTAAACAATGAAGGCATGCATGAGTTGATTTGGCTCTGTATGGTATTTTACTTCAGTCATCTTGTATATATCCTGTGCTGTTCTAATTGTAAATAACATAGACTGGATAGAGGTCAGTTCCAGTTAGGGTGGAAGGCTGTTAAGCGCTTTCCAGACTGTTGGAAGAGAGTATTCCTGCGTATCTGGAGGCAGTGAACTGGACAACAGATTGAGAAGGACTGAGGAGTTGTAAGGCATTTTTTCCTCCATTCCAGTACTAATTTTGTTTCTTTCCCAATTCCAGGTGAAATAGCAAAGCCAAGAATCTTCTAACAACAGACAATACGCTGCCTAAAGGACACACCCATAATTTTTTCATTCTTCTGCAATATAATCAAGAATGCTAATTTTTGTCCGTCTCCTTTTCGCAAGGAAGAATGATCCATTTGAAGATGCTGCATTTGAAAAGAAAGCTGTTTTGCTTTTTCTCATTCGTTTGCACACATTCTCTCCTACCCACACTTACCTGAGAATAAGCCACACTGAACTCATTGGGACTTTTATCTAAATGAGAATGCGTAGAATGTCATTGTTAATATTCCAGTTGTGGGGAACATTTGATCAAACCATATGTATTTGTCAACAATTGTTGTCTGCATAGCATAAAGTATTTTAAAAGATCGTGCAATTTAACTCCAAGAATAATAGATAGAGAAGTCCACACAACATGTTCAGATGGTGTGTGTCTTCTTTGCTGATATTGTACATTATTGCAATAAAGTTATTTTTTTACTATTACCTGTTTCCTGCAGTTACATAGAAACATAGAAACTGAGTGAGTCAGAAGGGTCCTCCCGGGCCATCTAGTCTGACCC